GTTATGTTGGAGGTAATCTCTACATTTGCAAAAAAATTCTTTAAAAGTCAGACAAAATGATTTTCTCAAAAATTTTTTTCACATTTTGTCTCTCATAGTTGAGGTCTACCTATGATGTCAATTACAGGCCTCTCTCATCTTTTTAAGTGGGAGAACTTGCACAATTGGTGACTGACTAAATACTTATTTTCCCCACTGTATACTTTTAAATTAAACCAGTAAATGGTAGTTAACTGGTTATTGCATGCTGGATAAATTTGAATTAATGGGTGTTTGTCTGTGACTGATTTCTTTGAGTCAACCTGGCTGCCACAGCTTGGCCTCCTCTGCCAACACAAACGGTTTTAGATGTTGATGTAGCTGAAAGTCCGTCTCAGCTCTGAGTTTGTGCCTGAAGTTAAGTTTTAAGAGTTAACCAAAACATCATATCATTGTCAATTATCAACATATCCAAGTCTAAAACTGCATTTAATATGATTCCTTCAAAGAGCAATCATTGTAGAATCACTGATATACTTTTAAAGAGCAGGAAAAGTACAAATAACATGGTTGATTTCAGTTTTATAAATAAATGCTTAATATGTTGACTTTTCCAGTTCATGATGGRGGGGAAGAATCTAGTGCTGGTCGCTCTCACCTGCCTTGTTCTGGTGATGCTGCCTTCGTACACAGGTACCGACCCTTMGTTAAAAACCAACCGGAACAGATGATAAATAATAATAATAATAAAAAATGGTTTAGGTCCACCAGTAATGCAGCTGCCTGTGATGTTTTCTTCCAGTGACTGTAGCTGTCATGTCAGTGGACATGGGCAGCGAGTGGATGAAGATGGCCATCGTTAAACCTGGTGTGCCCATGGAGATCGTTCTCAACAGGTGAGCTGACACCTGCACTCACTCTCATGATGTTTGAGTAAAAAAAAAACAAAWGATGGGTTTTGGGAGGATCTTTGGTTCAGAGGAGAAAGCTGTGCCTCTGGATGGTATTTGCCTGATAGAGCTTTAAAGTGCCTGTGACATCATTTTTTTGTGATAAATGTGATTGCGCTTTTGGAAAGGTAACATTGATAACATATTGCAAAYGCAATTTCACACCACTGAGATGAACAGTTGTGGAGATATTTGCATTTGAAGTAACAGGAAGTGATGTCAAAGGGGAATGTCTGCGTGTGAACAGAGCTTTGCTACAACGGCTACGACACAGACAGCAGGGAGTTTTCTGATGTTTCTTTCTTTAGATGATTTTAGTCCCTATCAGAGAGAGAGATGAAGACGAGTTAAAGTTTAAATAATATAGTTTTAATAAAGAGTTTTCTTTCTTAAAGAGTTCCCCTTTGATGTCACTTCCTGTTTCACTTTAGCTGAGCCAAATTCAAAGGAAAATAGACCATTTATGTGACAAACTGGGTTAAATCGTGTTTTATGCCAATTTTCCTAAATATAAAGATAATTTCTTTGACTTTTTGTATTTGAAGGATAGACATGTCACAGATACTTTAAACAATGAACTGTGTTCAGATGATGTGTTCCTGAGTCCAGGAGGTCCAGAATAGAACCAGAACCTGTTTTTAAGGCAGTGAAGATCACGACCATCCAGTATCAAGCTCAGAGATTTCTCCAGATTATAATAATCTGTTTATCAGATTATGACTAGGGCTGCCACGATTAATCGACGACTAATCGATTATTAAAATAATCGATGACTAATTTAATAATCGATTAATCTTTTTTTTGTTCTTTACTTTGTTTTTCTCTCCAAACTGCTTTGACACCTTCCACTGCCACATCTGCCTTTCTGTCCTTGACACACATGCACAGTAGTGGTA